CTGCCCCAGAATGAGGCAGGTCCTGGGTTCTAAATGGGACTCTTGTTCCCTATGGGGCAAGAACTTCTCCACTACTCTATCTACTTTATCTTTAGACTATGAAATGCAAAGTCTCACCTTCAAGAGAAGGGCTAGGTAACAACTGACCTTTAGCCCTGAGGTAAAGTCTCTCTCCTGCAAATTTGGAGAGATGTAGATTCAAACCTCCTTTGGGTGAGGCTGGCCTGAGCCTGCCTCCCTTCATTTCTAAGCAAATAGCCTACCCACTCTACTCTTTGTGCCTATGACACAGGAGATCCTGTGCCCAACTCTTTTGAGACTCAACAATGTACAGCCATGTACCTAACCAACCAGTGCATAGCTTACTGCACTTATTCAGTATGTATGTGACACTTAAACACCCATATTGCAGGGATACTAGAATTTCAAACTGTGTTTCAGGTCCATAAAAGACATTGATGTGGTTGGAAAAGTAACATGAAGTGAAACAGAATTCTGTCCTAAATGCTGGCAGTTCCATGGGCAGATTCAGGATCCAGGCAGATCCAGCTCCTCTCACCATTGGGATGGGCAGACCACATCACAGGAGCAGCAGCCAGGGTTGTTTTTAAGACCCCCAAATCAGAAAAGAACCTCCCCCTGCCCCTGTTCTCAGTACTCCTTCCCTTCCCTCCATAATCAGCAGTACTTCCCCTCAACTCTTCTCACTTTAGCTCCCTCCCCACCCCTGCCTGATCCCCTTAGAAGATGTTCCCCACCAGCCCAGGAACAGGATTAAGGAGGAAGAACCTGTCTGCTGCCACCACTGCTGCTGTCCTTGGTTAAGCCCCGCCTTCCATGTAGCCCAGCTGGAGTGAGATAGGAGCAGCTCTGGAAATCTCTCTCCCTAGGTCAGCTGGGGACAAGGAAAGACATGTGTGGGGGAGAGGGGAAATGGAAGGAAAAGGGACATGCCACTGCTCAGGGAGGGTAAAGGAAGTGGGGGGAATTCTTACCTGATTCAGTGACTTAAAACAGTCCCTCTGCTGCTTCTCCCACAGCGTTATCTGAAATGGTTCTATGACCATATCATAGCACCCCGCTGCCCTTGGGCATTTCTAGGAAATAACTCACTTGAAAAACATCTTGGTGCTTATTTTGACTACATCTTTACTAACAGCCCACCTCTGGGAGAAAGTGACCTTCTCCCAACTCCCAACACATGCATGATCATTCAGAGTGACTCTTTCAGTGGACCCAATAGATAAGATGCTTAAAGTTGAGTGGTTTAATTGGGTTTTGGACCCTTTTCTGCATCAATAGTCTCAGAACATCACTGAATGCTCCTGTGTTAGAAAGATTCTCTGTTGTGCATAATTGATCTCTGTCAGTCACTAACACTGGGGCCATATTTAAAGGGTTAATCCACTTAATCATAATCAGGTTTTGCTCAGATTAATCTGAAGGTTCTGATTCTCAGAGGTTCAATTAGTGACCACACCTTGTAGTCATACAGAGCAACACCACATGCCTCAGAAGGAATGAGACAAGTTGTGACACATGGAAAGTACATAGTACAATGAATATGGGTGCTCTAAATGCAGAGACTGAACATTGGACCCAGCAAGGGCAAGGTCATTGCTGATTCTTGCTGGGCAGTGGGCAAGAAATAGGATCATTACTCTGGGGATGAAGCTGTTGGCAAAGAACACTTTTGTCTCCAGCTCCTCATCCAGACAGTTTGCTCCCAGGTCTCTTCTGCAGCAAACCCCATCTCCTACTGAGGTGACTGTGTTGAATCGGATCTACTCACTGAAGAAGAGATTCTCTCCATCCTTGTTTAATGAAGGACTGAAGTGTGCAACTGCACTGTAAACATCTTTGCTTTGTTCCTAACCCCTCTGTCCGAGACGTTCCTGGATGGTACTGTCAGGTAAGGGGAGCATTTTCAATGTCTGGTGTTGCTGATCCTGTGCTAAACCCATCTCTTTCTAGAGTGTCAGTCTCTCTTCCAGGATGGGAGACACTCCCTGGGACTCAGACCTGCCAGAGCAGTCAATGCCTCATCAGGCTGCAAGCTGTGCTTCTCACTCTGGAGCTGTTGCAGATATGCGGAAGCTGGGTGTGTATTTTCCTGAGGCAGTTAATGCTGGTATCCCATGGAGGTCTCTCTTAGATCTGCCTAATAATCTGGGAGGCCTCATTGACCCTCACTGGTCGGGCCACTCAGCCTCAGTCCATCCCACACTGGTCAGGAGCTGAGGAGGTAAGAAATGAGTGGGCTTTTTCACTTTCAGGTTCAGCACGAGCATTTCCATTTGCCCTCTTGTCTGTCTGTGCAAAGGGCTGAGCAAGAAGCAAGCATTTCCAGATCCTGTTCAGTTGCAAAGAAGTCCAGGCAGAACCATTTCCACCTAAGGCACTTCAATTAATTTAAAATACTCTGTTTTGGAGAAATGAGGATCAAACCTGCTAGTGGGAATGTGACTGGCATTTTTCGTTGCCCTGAATCAGGTTATTGGACATATTATCAGCTTTCATCTACCCTGCCTGAAATGCAATTGACACTTTTTACAATACCACAGTATCATTTTTGCTAAGAGAGGGTCCCAGCAAAAGCGTTAAGTCAATTTATCATAAAGAATAGAAACAGCTGAGAGTGCCAGTGTGAACAGGTCATATGTGGATGGAAAATCATGTTTGATTTGATCAGTAAATTAGAGCTGTGTATGATGGGACCAATTCTTGAATAGGGAGAGTGCCCAAGACCAGACCCAGGAACAGAACCATTGCTGGCCTGGGGTCTGCACCCTGAATGCTATGGGTAGTAATAAGGAGGTAGGGAAGGCAGTGAGATCAGGGCTAGCAGTTGTACGAGGCAGACATGCCTCATTCTCTATTGTTGCTGCATGAGTTTTCTTCTCAAGAAATTGCTATCCCATGCCACTTTTCAGTGTGTGAGGATTTAAAAGGGGAGAGAGTAATTGTAAATAAAGGGCCAGACCCTCCATTGGTGTCCAGAGACAGATCTGGGGGTGGAGGGAAGGGGTATACTGGTGCAGTTGCACCCCCCTTTCATTCTTCCTCCACCCAAACAGTAAAACCAACTGCCTGGGAGGGACAGTGGCATTTGTATTCAGGCAGTGCTGAGATGACAATGAGCCCTGAAGTCAATTGACTATCTCCCTAGTTCCTGCTAATCTATCTTCATTCCACAGGTGTTAATGACCCTTTATCCTTTTTCATAGTCTTGATATTCCATTATTCAAACTATTGCTTCTTTTGCAGTTTTGCTGTCTGGTACCCATTCCTGGTAATTCTGCTACCCGTTCCTATTTCACAGCCCTGCAGACTGTTTTTAGCTCTAACTAAAAACCTTAACTCAGATGTGGTACTATTAACTTAGGTGTAGAAATGACTGCCAGTGAAGCATTGGGGACACTGTCAAGACACTCAAAAAGGCTAGATTTTATTTTATGTATCTGAGTAAGAGACATATATTTAACTAGAATGACTACAGAACAAATCACAACAACTGTTGAATATTTTGACTATATTTTGCCTAGTTGTGCTTTTTTAAGATTTGAATATAATCTAGCAAATTAGTGCACATTCCAATAGTTATATTTGTTTTTGCTTTGATCTTAAATTTAATAATATAGGGTTAGACTCCTGGCATATTAGTAAAACATCTAGTTTCACTTTAACTGGAGAAAATTATGTCTTCCATTATATGTGATTATGTGCCACACCATCTGCATCCTCCTTTTCAAAATCCTAGATCTGCCCATGTTGGTGTCAAATTTTGAAGCTTCATTGATCTCCCTTCTTGAGACTCTGATCCAGAGTCCCCTGGAGGCAAAAGCTATAGGAAAGGATATGGGCTGGAGGGAAATTGCTTGAACTTCCAGATCTTCAAGAATTCCAGATATTCAAGGTGCACTGCCAAAGCCATTGATTTAATGGAATCTGGGCTGGGTTAGCAAAGGGCCCTTGGTGGGGAAAGGGGCTGATGTAGAGCAGCCATGCATGGACCAACTTAGGTTAATCATTCCAATGAATTAGGATCCTGAAAGGTTTGATTTGCTGGGCTGTTTTACCATAATTTTAAACCAAACAAGTCATATTAAGTCTGAGTGGGAATGTCAATGTCCTGCTTGTAGAAAGAGAGTTTGGAACTCTTTATTGGGACTTGACTTCAGCTAGCAACTGAGGAAGACTCTGGTAATGGCTGGATCTTTTGTTCTGGTCCTGTCTGAGAAGGGACATAGCAATATGAGTGGTTCATACTAGATCCTAGTTGTGGCACTGCTCCTTCTTGTTCACTGATAGTCCCTGCTCTAGCAGTGATAACATTTTGTGCAGCCATCAGCCTCCCATTGGTCAAGCTGCTTACAGGCCTCATGTATTGGCCCATGTCACTGACACACAGTCATCTAATTTGGTCAGTCTTTTTAGTAAGCCAATTTTAAGTCCTGGTCCATTCTTCTAGTGAACATATTTTTAGTACTTTCTCCAGAAGTCTGCCTGAAATTCTTGCCTTCATCCCCAGCCCAAACTCAGCTCACTTGATTCCCCAGATGTCACTGGCTCCACAGTTCTGATGCCCACCGCATACTGCACTATGTATATGATAATGTCCTGCTAACCTTCTCCCTCACTTCTGGGGCAGAGCTGGATGGAGTTCCTTAGTGTAAAGATTTCTCAGTGAGAATCATGCTTTAGAAATGTATACCATTGTCAACAGTATTGATGCTTCTTCAAGAGGTGATTGAAAATGTTACTGATAAATTTCCTTGGTAAAAAACAAAAACAACTCCCCCTGCTCCAAGTTAAATACTTGAAAGGAAGCCACATTTTTCATAATCAGAAATCTAAAATATGTTGGGAAATACCTAATGAATATTTATGTTGAAAATCATCAGTCAGTTCAGTATCTATCATTTTATAGAGCATCTTTGAAGTACACTCACTATCTGCCATATCGTTCCTGTCCCAGCAGGTGAATCTTCAGGAAGGCCATGACAGAGGGAAATGAGACATTGGTGACAGAGTTCATCCTGGTGGGCCTCTCTCATCATCCCCAGGCACAGACTGCATTCTTCTGGCTCTTGTTGATTGTCTATATGGTGACCCTGATGGGGAATGGGCTTATTGTAGTGTTGATAGTTGTTGACCGCCAGCTTCACACCCCCATGTACTTCTTCCTCAGCAACCTCTCCTTCCTTGACATCTGCTACTCATCCAGCTCTGCCCCACAGATCCTGGAGAACTGTTTTGCAGAGAGACCCACTATTTCCTTTAACAAATGTTTGGCCCAAAGTTATATTTGCGTCTGTCTAGGTATAATGGAATGCCTCCTGCTGGCTGTCATGGCCTATGACCGCTTCATAGCCATCTGTAACCCACTGCACTATACCATCATCATGAGTGGGAGGGTCTGTGGGCAGTTAGCAGCAGGATGCTGGGTCCGTGCTTAGCAGCAGCATGCGGGGTCAGTGCCTTCCGGCTGACTCTGATTCAGATAGTCATTCAGCCAAAACACTTGTGTGGACACAACATCATCAACCATTTCACCTGTGAACTTCAGGCAGTGCTCAAACTAGCATGTTCTGATACACACATCAATGAGTTTGTCAACTTGGTCACTGGCATGCTGGTTCTTGTGACACCTTTTATCTTCATCATGGTGACATATGTGCACATTGGCCAGGCTGTGCTGCACATCCGCTCAGCTCAGGGCAGGAGCAAAGCTTTCTCCACCTGTGGCTCCCACCTGACTGTGGTCAGTATATTCTATGGCACGGCCATGTTCATGTACCTGCGGCCTCAATCCAAATTGTCCTCTGACCAGGACAAGCTCATTGCTGTGTTCTATGGACTCGTTACTCCCATGTTGAACCCCCTGATCTACAGCTTGAGGAACAAGGATGTGAAGGAGTCTGTAAGGAAAGTAATCACAAGGACAATATTTGTGTAGAATTATTGACATATATCCAAATGTCATCATTCAGGACCTTTCCTGCCTTGTCTTGTTGGACTCAGAGTACCCTTCCAGGTGGCAGCCTCTATGTCTTCTCGTCTCTGGGACAGATTCCTATGATTCATCATACTCTCTGACTAGGTCCCTGTGATGCCACTCCTTTCATACAACCTGGGATTTCTCAGCAACCTGCAGGCATTTCCTTCTTGGCCTGTGACAAGAACTGGCAGATGGGCAGATCCAGGATTTGGAGAAGAAAGGTGTGGCACATGCCACTGGTGCTGCCCCTAGGATCATAGGAAGTAGGGTTGAGGCATGACTGGAGCCCCCAGGCTGGCAGAGGACACTAAAGTGGGGGAGGCTGGACTGAGAGCAGAGGTAGAAGCAGTTCTGAGGCTTTTTGAGGTCAACACAGTGTAGTGTAGGGTAGGCCCTTCCTGCCTGTGCCTGGCTCCTGCCTGACTCCTTGGTGTTCCCTGTTATCCCAGCAGCTCCAGCTGAAGGCTAGACACCCTGCTTACAATACTGTACACAAAAGAGGACTGTAACATAGCTCCCCTAGAGGTCTAGAAAGCTGGGAAAATGCTGTTAGGGTGCCAATATTTGGATCTTGGGGACCACTGGATTTGCAGCTGAATAATGGCTTGTATCTGTGTCTCAGCAAAAGCTGCTGGTCACAAGGCAGGATGATATATTAAAAGTAACTAACTTTGCAAATACTTAAGCAAGCAGTTTTCTAACAATGGGATAGTGTGCAGGATGCATGATTTACTGTGTAAAAAGAACAAGATGCAGCCCACCAGCTATCGTCAGGAGATAAAGCAGAAGCAAGACCTTGGAGATGGTGCTGAAATCAGCAAAGAACCACAAAGAACCAGCAATAAACCTCCATTGACCGAGAGAAAACAGGGTCAAAGTCTTACACATGTGCTCTTAGCAGAGAAGCATATAAATGAATGAAATGCATAGGCAATTCCATGTTAATGAAGTAAACAGTAAACAGAGGTGAAGCTTGAGATGGGAGGAGAAATGGGTGGAACAAAAAGAGGAACAGAGGTGAAGTGAATGTTAATAAGCATGAATCAAGGTGTATAAAATGTGAAAAGAACTAATGTTCACTGCGGGTCCCACAGTTTGTTGGTTTTTTGGGACGTTTGCTCGAAGCTATCTCCATTCTGAATAAAACTGTTGTGAGCAATGTGTGCTGGTGTTTGCTCCCTGCTTGCTCTGGCTAATGACTAACAGGATCCATGAGTGATTGGATCATCGTCTCCCTAGTTGTTGGGCACCACATGGAGTCGGGGTCTAACAAATGCTGTCTCAAATTTTCTCTAGATGAAGTCAGCCTAGGCCCTGCTTTCCCTGAGTCAAAGACAAATAGTCTAATGCAGTGCTGTGGCAAGGAAGTTTGGCACCCGGGGCAAAGCCCACAGTGGCAGCTCATCCTCGCCTCACATACAAATCTGGGGGGGCACATGCCTCCCACCCATGCCTGCCTGGGAGTGCACGCAGTGCCCCCCACCCCCGAAATGAACCAGTCGTGGCTCTGTCCTGTGCTGTGCCCCAGCTGCGAAATACTTGTTGGCGCCCTTTTACTTCTATGCCTGGGGCAGTCGCCCCACTTCCCCCTCCCTCCCCCTTTGCTACTGCACTACTCTAATGCTTCAATTTCTTGGGGCTAAAACTTGGGACACTCTCTACCTGGCTTTTTGGAGACTTATACACATATGGAGTGGCATGCCTGCCCAGCCAGGGCATAATTTACTGTACATTCTCAATAGGCATGTGTCCACATCTACATGTAGTTGTAACAAGATTTCAAATTCTGTGTAAATGCACACAGATCTGGATGGAGACCTAACATTTGGGTGTATGAAGTGAAATAGAATTCTGCCCTAAATGCAGGCATTTCTAGAAAGCAATTCATTAGAAAACCCTCTCATTGCTTGTTTCTGTCACATCTTTCCATAATAGTGTGTAACAGGGAGCCAGGGCACCTGTTACTTTAAGGGAGAAGTCGCAGCAGGTATGTCCTCAGGTGGTGGAAGACAGCAGATTCTGGACTAGCTGCAGGGGAGCAGGCAGCTAGGGATCCATAGGCTGCAAGTGCCTAACATGTGGCTAGCTGTCTAGTAATAGGACAGAGCCCTGGTTAGGCAACAAGGGAACTCCTATAGTTGGGCAGAGAAACAGCAGTAAGTTGCTTTGGAGGTTGAGAGGACACACTGGTTAGAAAAACTCCTGACCAGAAAGGGAGGATCTCAGGGTATATAAGCCAGGTCCCTGAGGCAGAGTGGTAGTACAGCCCTGAACTCTGCAGGGAGGTGAGCTCCTTCCAGCTCAGGCTGGTGGGAAGTAGGATCTGCAGGTCATGTCAGGTACTCCCAGGGCTGAGAGAACCAGTGAGTGGGGAGTTGGCTTGGCAGTGCTATGAGAACCCAGAGGGGGGCTTTGAGTGTTTGAGTTTAAAGCAGTTGCTTGCATTTTTGTTTTAATGTTATACTGGAGGACTGGGTGGTGGCTCCTGGGGTGAAAAGAAGGCCCCAGGGATACCAAAGGAGTATGCCAGGTTTTGAGCCCTGCCAGGGTCAGTAGCACAAGACAGAAGCAGGCTGAGGCCAAGAAGGGTTGAAGCCCGAGCCCAGAGGGTGCATCCAAGGCAGCCTGAGGCCAAGAGTGCTGGAGTCTGAGGCCAGAGTCTGCAACTAAAGCAGTCAGAAGCTTATGAGAAGCTGAGACTGAAAGGCCAGACCAAAGCCAGTGGGCCTAGGCTACCAGTTACAGCCAGAGTAACCTGGCTAGTGGGCAGAGGGCCCAGAGACTACAAGAGATCAGTTATGTTGGTCAGGAACTGGTGAGATCATTCCAGAGCTGAGGGGCAACCTCACAATCAATATAAAAAACCCCATCAAGGCATGGCAGGAAAGAAAAACAGGGGAAGTTATTTAAAGGCCTGGGAATGTGGGCAGGATTAGGGTGGCTTCTAGGTGGCATCATAGCCACCCAAGGGTCTGTACTACCACACAGATGACAAATGGGACAAACAGACCTCCTCCTCACAGCTCCCCACATGAACATAACTCTTCAGAATGGCTCCTTAACTCTATGAATCCCATTGGTAACTTGTTTCAAGTCAGGAGATTTATTAGTCTTTTAGACAGTCTCAGTATAGGACATCACTGAATCATAGAATCATAGAAAATGTGGGTTTGAAGAGACCTCAGGAGATCACATCTAGTCCAACCCCCAGCTCAAAGTAGGACCACCCCAACTGGATCATCCCAGCAAAGCTTTGTCTACCTGGGTCTTCAAACCTCTAAGGATGGAGATTCCACACCTCTCTGGGTAACCTGTTCCAGTGTTTTACTACTCTCCTAGTGAGAAAGATTTTCCTAATATCTAACCTAAACTTCTCTTGCTGCAACTTGAGACCATTACTCCTTGTTGTGTCATTCACTACCACTGAGAACAGTCTAGCTCCATCCTCTTTGTAACCATCCTCAGGTAGTTAGTTGGAGACAGTTATTAAATCTTTCATTATATGAATTCTTCTCTTCTCCACACTAAATAAGCCCAGTTCCCTCAGCCTCTCCTCCTAAATCATGTTCCCTAGCTCCCTAACTATGTTAGCTGCCCTTTGCTGGACTCCTGGACTCTCTCCAATTTGTCCACATCCTTTCGGGGGAGTGGGGGGGAGCAAAACTGGAGTTCCCTCAGCCTCTCCTCCTAAATCATGTTCCCTAGCTCCCTAACTATGTTAGCTGCCCTTTGCTGGACTCCTGGACTCTCTCCAATTTGTCCACATCCTTTCGGGGGAGTGGGGGGGAGCAAAACTGGACACCATACTCCAGATGTGGTTTCACCAGTGATGAACAGAGGGGAATAATCACTTCCCTTGATCTGCTGGCAACACTTCTATTAATGCAGTCCAGTATGCTGGTAGCCTTCTTCACAACAATGGAACACTGAATGCTTTGAGGATGGAAAAGTTTCTCTGAGACATGTCTTTCATCCCTGTCAGTCTTGGACATTGGGTCTTCCCATTAAACACTCACATACATGGCCATATCCAGAGACTCTGCCTAGTCTAACTTGCAGGTCTTGATTCCCCAAGGTGCATTTAGTGACCAGGCCTATGAGTCATACTGAGCCCCCCACACAACAAAAAAGAGTGGGACAGGTCATGACACATGGATGTTATATAATACTCAGGAGTAGTTATCTTGAATGCAGATGCTGAGCACTGGGACCCAGTGGAGACCTTGGCACTATCAAGTAGTTTGTGACATGCAGTAGGGAAGCAATAGGATCCTTCTTGAGGAAATAAAGTTCTTTTGTAGAGAAGACTAATGTTTCCAGGTTCTCATCAAGACAACTTTGCTCCTGGTTCCTTTCAGTAGGGAAGTCCTGTCTCCTATAGAGGTGAAGGCTTCAGGTTTGATCTACCGGGGCATAGGGGGACTACCACCACTGCTGGCCCACTGAGCAAACCTTGCAAAGCCAGCAGGCCAAGGCACTTAAGGGAGCCCACCCCTGTCCCAGCTCTGGAACAATCTGCAGGCAAGGCAAGGGCCCCCAAGCGGACACTTACCTGCCTGTACATGAATGCCAGGAGCTTGGGGAATAAACAGGAGGAACTTGTCCTCCTGCTTAACACAAATAATTACAATGTCATGGGGATAACAGAGACCTGGTGGGACTCCACCCATGACTGGACCACAGGTATAGATGACTATACCCTGTACAGGAGAGATCGAGGGGACAAAAGGGGTGTGGGTGTAGCTCTCTATGTTAAGGAGAGTTACGCATCCCTGCAAGCCAATATTGGCAACCAGGGTGGATGACTAGAGACCCTCTGGGTTGAAATCCATGGGGAACACAGCACAGGGGAGACAATGGTGGGAGTCTACTACAGACCTCCGACCCAAAGTCAAGAGCTTGACCAGGAGTTTGCCAGGGAACTGGCTGAGGCCACATGTTCCTGGTCCATGGTTGTC